TAGTCTTTAAAAAAAAAAAAAAAAAAAATAGCTAGAGGCACCATCGCGCATTCGATAACTAGCTGCGTCGCACCGTTTATTATTTTTTTTTTTTCGCGGACGAAAGTCCCACACTCGCACGCGCGTAGCTGTACGTATACATGGGTAATAGGTGCCTATACACCGGGAGACAATGGCCCTTTTCGCGTGTAAAAAAAAAAAAAAAAAAAAAAATCCTTCGAACAGTCAACTTGATATCTTGTGTACCTACTTCTAAGCATCCCAAGCCAATATAATTAACTTACAAAATCAATAATGCACTGCACTCTCGTATTTACGGATAAGTTGAAAAAAAAAAAAAGTAATAATAATAATAACTCACCGTATGACCTTCGAATGGTGCATGGCACTGGTAATATCAATAAGAATGAATTGTCAATGAAAAATTCAACACACCTGTTTCGGCTTCAACGTCGCTTTTGTACTCTGCAAAAAAGCAACATCAAAGTTAATCAATGATAGGCTCCAAAGAAACCTTCAAAAGTCAAGTATGTGTTTTCCTTATTACCTCCGTCGAACTTTTTGAGCTCCGAGTAGGGTCCCCACTCGCCGAGTCTGTCGCCTTTGGGGTGCTCCTCGTCGTTGCGTGCCCTCAGTTTGGCCTCGTAGTTGCCAGCCTCGATGCCCGTGATTCTCGTCTGGACGATCTTCTCTTTACCAATGGTGCTCACGATGTCGACCTCCTTGCCCTCGAGCCACTCGTCCTCGCCTTCTTTGCGGTACAGGAGCTACGCGCATCGATGTGGACGAACGGGTAAGTGCTTATTCGAGTTATTTGCATGAATTTACGCGACAAAAAGCTGCTGCGGAAAGTTCATTGGGGCGAAGCTTATATACGCGTCGACTTTTTTTTAATACTATTTTACAAATAATTCATCTTTGAAATTAATTTCATACAAGTTTTTTCGTGAATTCGAATGTGTACGTTTTATCGTTGACTTGGTGGTTTGACTAATGTACCTTAATTGTGTTTCTTTTCGTTGTTGATGAGAGGGCCAAAAACGTTAGTTTATCGAAAAATATGTAATATATGTTTAAACTACTTGATCCCAACATCAAAAAAATTTTCAGTCAAATTCGTCAATTAATATATTTTATGTGTGTGTATGTTAAATAATACTTTTTTTTTTTTTTTTTTTTTTTTTCTAGTTTTTAAGGATGATGCCTTTTAATGCTTCAAACTACGAGAAAATTTTACTCTCCACAACATACAACCGGAAAGCCAGCTCGAACCTAACTAATTGTTCTCGACGAAGAAAACTTTTTCATGGTTATAATTTAAGGTGCAACCGAACACAAAAGAAAAACGTATAATTTGACTGCTGTATGTATATTAACGTAGATAATTTTAATACGTTAATACCGATTTTTAAAATCATCGAGCTAATTACAAACTGTATCTGTATAGACACTTGTTCACTTTGCCAAAATAAATGTAAACAAGGTGATGTTTAGGTGCGTTGACTCGCCGAATACGGTATCCAGGAAGTAGAGCTTTTTCGAGCCTTTTTCAAGCTTTTCTCGTCTACTTCAGCTAGATATGGTTGAAAGCTCGAAAAAACTCTACTTCCAGATTATGGATGCCATGGATGCCGAGTTACATAAACTGGATTCAGGCTCAAAAAAGCTCAGCGTTTGCAATGGTCACAAGCTCCTAACTAATCCGGTGAAACGCACTTTCCGCATGAGTATAATTAATGTCTTTGGCAAGTATATTTGCCAATGCCCTTCCCAACGGAGAACGAAAGTAAAAAATCTACTTCCTCACCTGGGCCTCAACGATGGGCTTGTAGCTGTTAACCCTCCACTGGAACACGATCGAGTCGTCGACCGCCTCGCCCTTCTTGAAGATAGGCTGGTCGGGCGTGTCCCGGAGGTCGATCTCAGGCCCCAGAGCGTCGCCGAGCTCGCTCCAAGCCCTGCACCGGTAAGCCCCGAGGTCCGACTTGCTCGTGTTCTTGATGGTGAGCACGTGGTGGCTCTTGCGGCTGACGCTCTTGCTCAGCCGGCCGCCTTCCTCGGTCTCGAGCTCCCGGCCGTCCTTCAGCCAGTGGAGCCTCTCGACCGGCGGATGGGCGTGCACGACGCACGTCAGGTTGCTCTCGACCCCCATGCCCGTGTAGTAGTGGCTGCGCTCCCGCGTCTTGCTGTCACTCAGGTGTTCCTTCTCGTACTCGATCTCCGGCTTGTCTGTCGAACGATCGGGTAGCACATCATTTTTTCGATACTTGCTTTTTACGGCGAATAGACTAGGGGTAAGGGTATCGCGGTGGGAGGCAGATCGACTCGTCACTCAAGGTCATACTCACGTCTGACGCGTAGCTTGAGGTGCTGAATCAGGGGCTTGTCGCTACCAATCTCGATGAGGCACTGGTAATCGCCGGCCAGGTGCCGATTCGCGTCCTTTATGTCAAGATAAACGCCCTTCGCCGTCTCCCGGTCCACCTTTATCCTGTGTCCCTGTGTGCAACGACAATCGTTGTTATTACTGTATATTGTCATCCTTATAGTCGTAGTTGTTTCAATGCATGATAATAAATTGACACAGAATTTAACAAGTATAAAAATGTCAACAAGAGCCCCCAAAAGTGGCAAAAATGGCCAAAACCTGTTTTTTTTTTTTTTTTTTTTTTTGTAAAAAAGATGTGCAATTTTAAGACGAACAAAATGAGCCGCGTAGGGCTCAAATCGGTTGAGCCGTTCTTTCGTGAATGGCAAAAAACTGCCATTTTGAGTCATTTTTTCGAATCTCAATAACTCGCGTTTCATACAATGTTTAGAACTGCAATTTTGGTCACAAGGCAGGTATATTGTAATCCTTAATAACACACACAAAATTTCAGCTTGATCGATTTGAGTATAATCCCAGTGCATACAGGTATTGTATCATCAGTATTGGGGGAAGGTAAATGTTATACGTATATAATATGTGAGATGTAGCATAGGGGATGTACCTGTCTCGACCAGAACATGCCCCGGGGCTCGAGGCTGCCGAGGTACTCGCAGCCCAGCGTGAGGCTGCTGCCCTGTTCGACCTCCTCGTGCTCGGAGGGCAGCACGCGTACCATGTGGCTCGTGTCGCCGCCGGCCGGGCTCACCCTGATCTGATGCCTTATCATTTCGCGGTTTTGCTGGCTGACCAGGGCCTCGCAGATGTACTCGCTCGAGCTGTTCTCCGCCGCCACGTTCCTTATCACCAGAGTGTTGTTGGCCAGCCGATCTATTTGAGGATCCGAGCCGATTTTCGCGTCGCCGGCGTACAGCATGTCCGGCTGTTCGCACGTTTGCGTGCACTTCATCCAGCTGATCATCACGTTGTCTGGAAAATTCGTTTTGATGAGATTTGCTTGTCTTATTGCAAATAATACTACCAAAGCTCGATTGTGCACATGTCATTCTCGCACATACTACATTGTGGGGGGAACGTTACATTACGCACCGCACACGTAGGTACAAAAATATTCACCCCCCCCCCCCTCCCGTTGCTGAGGTCCACGTAGAGTTGGCTATAGTCTCGCGTCAAGCTAAACTCTACACGAATGTGCCCAGAGCAATAGGCAAGCATATAGTGTAGGAAGGGGCCTGGCAACCATCAAACTAAATTTTATTGCAAAACTTCTATTTGGAACTTGTTAAAAAGTGATGCTTTTCAAAATTTTTAACAAATTTCATTTAAATCGACGTAAGTTTTGTAAAAATGACAATAGAATCAGGTTCGACAGTTCCCAGCTAGTATGGACCTTACGTAAGAGCTTACAAATTGAAAAAAAGGCTGAAAAAAATTGCTAGGACTAAATTAAAAAACTCCCATTGTACAAGTACTCATTAATATATTGCATTTTTTCTGAAGGAATCCATGTGTGGTTTAATGTTGCGTGGTTTAGTTTGTTTACGCAACGAAAGGATATCGATTATTTGAAATCTCGCAACAAAATCTAGAGTGTTTGTGTACGCACGAACGAACAACCTTTCGCGTAACGTGATGTAAACGTCAGCGTGACAAAAAAGTGACGAAAGTTTGTAATATCAAACACAATGATGATGATGATGGCTTACCAGCATTAAGGAATTCGCAAGGCAAATACACCGTACTTCCGGGTGTGACGGTGAATATTTTAGACTTTGTGAGAGCTTGCACGGGCAAGCTCTGGTTGTCATCGTCGGAATCATCCCCGTCCTTGTCGGGATCGTCGTTGGCTTCTCTGGTTTCCTCGTCATCTAGGAATTCTTTGTCTTCCTCCTCGCCTGCGGTCGGCTTGCTCCACACTGTAACGACAATAAGTACACGTTTATTACAACACAAGCTTATAGTTGCACTGTTGGAAACTTTCTAACTTGTATGTTAAATTTCATAATTTTGATTCTTAAAACAAGTTAATTTACATTGTTATAACATTTCATAGAAAAATATGAAATTTCATGGAACATAGTATTAAATTCTATAACTTGAAGTATTAATTTTTACAATTTCTCATTCGTTTTGCTTCATGATGGTTATGAAATTTGCTTCCAAACCATTTTTATTGAATTTTAATGAAACCTTTTCCAACAGCATGCTCACTGTCATTATTATTTTAGATAAATAGAACATTTTTTACGACTAAAATGCATTAATGTTTGTCTCGTTATATCTGAGACATACAAGACTGAGGAACAAGACAACTCCACGTTATTTACGTATATTTTCAAACAATACATATCTACAAATACTTGAAATATTGGTTCTTGCTCATTGCTTTCTGAATTGGCTGGGTTCGAGAAATCAATAGTATTCAATTATTTTTCACGAAACTATATACATTGGTCTAGGAGTTAAAAAAATAATTTTATGTTAAATTTAGAAATTCATGTCTTTCATACCATGAAACACGTTTATCCTATACGTTTTTGGGCAAAAATAATACGTTATACAAAATTTTCTTCCGAGAGAAAGTAAAAGTAACGAAGGCTTGCATGATCTGTTGTTACGGAAAAGTTGTCAAGTATTTACAAAAGTTTGAAGCTCCACCGCTTTCGGATAAAAGTTATACCTCGGAGGACGTTTTTGTTCCGTTAATATAAATCAGCGCGTTTTCCTCAAAAAAAGAAAGAAAAAGAAAGTACTTAAGATCCATCTTCGTCGCTGTTTTCANAAGCAGAGCCGACGAGCGGCACTTGCAACAGTTTAAAAATAGCACCGCTCCCCAAGGGGTCACCAAAACCCTCCGAAAACCCTATTTTCCAAGACATTATTCACGAGTTTGGTGCAAGCCGATTTTTCTCCTCGATAACTGATGTGATTCAATCATTCACGCCACGTCCCCTTATACCTCGATACATTCGACGTCACTGCTCGCCGGCAAATCCCAGCGCGCCCCTTTGTGCCCGACTCCGTCCCCGAGAGGTCCATGAACCCACGGCTAGACGAGGAGGAAGACGCTCGCGCGCGGAGGGCCCCCTTTTTCTTCCCTCCTTCCCGAAATTCCAGCGCTCCCTACCACTCGTGGACACGTGTATGTGCGAGGCAGCGCGCAGGGGAGATGAAATTAGACTCGCGGAGAGAGCCGTTTCTCTAAAAATACTCGCGCTCTCGGGAAAAGGGGGAGAGAGGCCGCGCGAGAGCGCTACTTACCCTTCCGCTTGATCGTCGCTTCCGCCGCGGCGCTGACCCACCCAAGTGGGCTCGACCTACCCTTTATATATATATATATATATACGCCCGTAGGGGTATACCCTCACGTCGATTGTTTATAATGTTGTACGTCACGATAACGATAGCGGAATGGAGCCATCTTCGCCCGCAGTATGATTGACGGGGATCGAAGGTTTTTCTATACATCTGTATTTAAGTGGTACCGATGGGTTATTGGGTTATTGGCGATTCGTTTGTGGTTCAGGGACGAAACGAGCTGTATACAAACATTTTCTTTATCTACAAAGCGAACAGTCAACCGAGAGCGCAGGCATCGCTGCCAGTCGTTAGATCGCGGAGCTGAAATGCCCGTAGTTTTTAAGGCGGGGCTCAATATAATATCCATGTACTGCTGCTAAGTTGTTTTTTTAAGCACGAACGTCCTGTGAGGTCGATGAACTGAGGGGGTGAAACTGTACCGACACGTAATTTCGTGCTTTCATTAATTTTCCACAACGCCATCGCTTATTGCGTTCCGTATACATTAGATGTTGTTCCAAAAAAAAAAAAAAAAAAAAAATCGTTAGTATATAATTACAAAGCAGTACAAAGAGAAAGGTTTTGGGTCGTATCGTGCGTATGGTGCTTTCAGAAAAATTGACCCAATTGCGTCGGAGCACGCACGCGCAGGGCCAAAGAAAACGTATACGCGTATACATGTATACTATATTAACGCTGAAACGCTGAGTCACCGAGCGAGGCGTTTCCCATGTACATAAGCCCTCCGAGAACGAATAATCGTTTTTTTTTTTTTTTTTTTTTTTCTCCATCGTGATAAAAACCGAGGGGAACAATCAGGTCGAGTCGAGCCATAAACACACATCCCTTGTTCACGAATCAATGCTGGGTGTTATTTGCGCGACGGAAATGCACAAGCCAATACCGTTGTTTGTTTTGGTATTCCGTGAAAGTCGATAGGCTGTGCCATTATCGCGTGTAAGAGCACTCCAGAGATTCCACGGAAGGAAAATTCCATCTCCGCATCGAGAGGCTCGGACGAGCAACCAGATCTGGGGTGGTCCGATGGAAAACCCATCACCAATCGCACAAATGTATTTTCTAAAACCAATGGCCTCAATGACTCCGCGTAAAATTTACTTTCAATTTGTCTGTCTTGTTTTTTCTTTCTTTTCTCCAACGCAAACCCATTAGGAGGAGCTACGCGTTTGGTACTACGTGTGCCATTGAAAAGCCATTTCCCGCGACTCGGGACTAACTGTATACGCGTGATTTGTTAACCATTGGCTTCGAACAAAAAAAAAAAAAAGGTACTTATACACCTGCCTACCACCGTTGGACCGTGTTCGACGGGGCTAAGAGAAAAAGGGCCATTAATCAAAAGAACGAAGCCTCTCCTTTGCATTACTGTAAGTGTAACAGCGGCGCTGGGTGATAAATACAATAATCTCACCTCTGTCCGACGCGTTGCAAGTGAGGTGCAGGAATCATTATTGTTATTACGTAACACAAGCACGTCCAATCGCAGGTTGATATATACCTATATGTATGATAATAATAACAATGAGTCATGGTAAAAAATACAGCCCCGGCTGCACATCCAACGGGGTGGTGGTGGTAGCAGGCACCGTGTAAATGAATAATCACAAAGCTGCGGTGGCTTGTATTCACCTAACGACGCGTATATGTACACACGTGGGTATATAATTCACGAATGATACGATGCGTAATGACAGACCGGTTGGCATCCATACACGTAAGAGCAACTTTGTATTATAGGGGAGGGGCTGCCTTGGCCGGTCTCCTCCTGCCCCCCTTGCTCCGCTCATTTGCCGGATCGATTGGACGAAACGTGATGGACGTTGACTTATATTTCCCTTGTAAACACATTTTTTTACTCTCCCCGAGAATGGCATATATATAGCATCGTACGCGTATAGCATCGATCGCTCGCCATGTAACAGTAAAGAGGCCCTATGGAAACAAGAAAAAACGTAAGCCCTTGACTTGTCGGATTGGCGATTTTTTTCAACCTCAGCGTCGCGTGCTAGGTCGCCTAATCGAGCGCACCGCGATACTACAGTATAATTACCGAGGGCGAGCAGGTGTTGCTTACACACCTATATGTATGTATACCAACTACAATTCGTTTTTGATCGGCCGCTCCGAGGCTTTTATCATCATCATCATCGCCAGTGGCGGTGCTCTTAATTTTGATGTACGAGGTGGCTTTTACTTGTGCGGTAAGATGAGAAAATCCCAGGGCAGCCGTGACGCGTGCTGCAATGGAATCGGAAGGAGGTTGCGCGTTACTCCGATGTGTTCTTCAAACAATTGATGTATGGGCAATCTCGCGATTAGGTCTTGGACGTGCATCCGATGCATTATTTCCATCATTTTTTTTTCTCGCGAATCTATCGATGGTGGCAGCTGACCGACCGTATGGGGCATGAACTTTTATTGTACTTTTTGCGTGTGTATACTATTATCGATTGCTTGGCATTATCATCAAGTGTAAGTACCGAGCGTTAAAAAATTGTGAGATGTACACACAATAAATATCAAACAAATATAATGATACAAGCTTGTTTTTTTTTTTTAATATATATTGAGTGAAAATTAATTTTTTATTGCCCATAAGAGTTGAAACATCGGGTGTTATCATTAGTTAATTGTTTTTAACAACATACGCCTGTTTGTTACTCTCTGCATTCTCGTCAATCACGCGCTTAATGAAAAATTATGGCCCATATTATGTTTGAGATAATAAATAAGAGTGTATCTTGTTTTGTTTTTAACTTTTTACTCCTAACTTTTGACATGCAGATGAAAAAAAAACAACTTGTTTTTCACCCCAAGACTGAAATTGTAGCAAGTTCTACTGTCCACACGTAAGCGGTACTTGGTCAGGATGTAAAAAGTCACAGCAACAAAGCGTACATGCCTATAGGGTGTGGTGACAAGTATGCACCTACTTACTGTAGAGGATGTGATTTGCAAGATTCCATCGTCTGAAAAATCAAGTAGAAACAGACGAGTGAGGTAAGACGAGTCATTGATGGTCAAAGACATTTAAATAACTTTCAGTCGGCGAAAACTAATGAAAAACATATGTATTCACTGTATACGCCATCACTGCATTGCAGATCTGTCAGAAAAAAAAACTTTTTTAGCTAAATATAATCTACTAGTAGGTAGGTAGAAAATTAACGTGAATAATAATCATCAATAAACGGGAATATAATACTCTGACATTTTTTGTCCCAATAAAGTTACGTCGAACTACCGGAACGTCCATGAAAACCAATAGGCTGTGTCGCCACAGCCCTTCCAAATAAAAGTAAAGATGAAGTAACGGCGGAATTCAAGTAGTAAAAAAATGGCAAAAAACCACCATCGACTGGTGGAGTCAATTTAGTTCTTCTCCCCCGTGATTCCATCGAAGAGAGAAAAGAGACAAGGAAAGCTTTCGCGGACGCGCGGGAGAGCAGCGATGACTCAATGTCCGGCGGGCCCGTCTCCGCCGATATCAATCAGCCGGTGAAAAGAAGCCGAAAGGAAAAAGCCTCGACTCTGGTCGGACACGCATATATATATATGTGTATATCCACGCGCGCGCTTGCACACTCTCTCTTCG